AAGTTTCTTATGTAATTTCCGTTTCTTTAAAGTTAAATTATACTTTTCTTGTTTTTCAGTAACAGAATATAATTCTTTTGAACTGTAAATCCAGGATCTTGGCTTGAACTTATCTTTTTCTTAACTGCCATAAGAATATTCTTTGAGTCTTAATTTCCTATTGAATTCATATATATATATCTTCTGCCAGTTGTATTTTATTAGGTTTATTTGTGGGAGTAAATATTAATCCTTTTGCTAATAATCGTATTTCCTTTTCTTGCAACATATTTTCTGTTAAATTAACAATAAAAAAATCTGATCCTATGTATCTAAAAGTTTATTAGAATTCTATCACTTTTTTAAAAATCATAGGTCTTTTATATAGTCTTTCTTTTCTTCTTCCATGCCTTTTTTCTTCCATTTTAATTAAGTTTCTTTGTCCAAATCTTTAATTTTTTGTCCTAGTATTTTATGTTGACCTCGATCATACTCATCTCCTATAGTAACACCTCTGGGATTCCATCTAGTGTTGTTAATGTATCGGTCATTTCTCCCCTCCCCAGTGGCACAGCGGTATGTCTGCGGACTTACAATGCTAGAAATCGAGTTTCGATGCCCGTGGTGGGCAGAGCACAGATAGCCTATTGTGTACTTTTTTTTAACTACAAACAAACATTTCTTTTTCATATTGTTATGTATTGTAGTATGAATTATGTTCTACTTTTCTATTATCAAAATCTTGAGAATCTTTACCTCTATTTATAATAATACTACTTTCAGTTTTCCTTCCTCTCTCTGGATTTCTTGTGTATTTCTTTAATTGTTATATGAAACATATTTCGTTTTGTTTCCATTTAGATCCCCTTTTCTCTTTCAGTCTACATAAATTACTCCAATATCATATCAGTGCTTCACAAATCTCTTTATTCTCTGTCCCTTTATTGAATAAATTCCAAGTTTTCGAGTCAATTTCTGTGAAATTCATCCTTTGATTTTCCAATCTAATTTCCAGAGCTTCAATTTCTATCCTCAACTTTTACATTTCCAATTTTGTTCTCACTTGCTTTCCTTCGTTTGAGATAGCTTCATTAAATTTTTCACGAAATTTGAAAGGTATTAATGGGAAATCCTCTTGAATTGCATTTACCACAATTTACTAATTTTTCCAACTTTCAAACTTCTCCAAAATGCAAATTTTCTTTCTTTCAAAAAGTGTATTATGGTACTGTTAAAGTCACACAAAATACCTTCAAATTCCTTTTTCTTTTACAATGTTTTTTACCCTATTCCCTTCTAATAAAACATTTAATATTTGTTGCTGTTGATCGTAGCTTTTTGTCATGCATTTCATTAATTCTTCTTATTTTTGTATCCACTTATCAAAAGGTCTACTTAATTTCTATAAGAAATCCTGTTTTTGGCGCCACTTTAAGAAGATAGATATAAGAGGGCAGAAGGTACCGACTGTGTAAACCGCCAAAAATATTACTAAGACTTAATAGAAAAGGAAGTAAAAGGTATTAACTTATGGAATAAATAAATTGCCTTTGTATAATAATAAGGGAAAGTATAATTAAAATAAGATTTTAATTTAAAAATGAAAGTATATATTGAATAAACATTGACTAATTTGACTTATTTTTGGGCATCCTTAATATAATTAATTTATACATGGATTATATTAAATGTTTGTACATTTGGAAAATATATGTATTTAGTTTAAATTATTTATATCTATCTTTTTTTTTTACTTTAACAAAGAGGAGTTCTGATAACACAATGTTCAAAATTTCGCCAGATTAAGCACTCATCCCATATTATGTTCAAAATATAAGATACGATAATGGGAAACCTAATAAGAATGTGCAGGTTTTTAATTTTTAATCTTGACTGGTTTCCATATTTTACGACAAGTGTAGCATAAAACAGTTGGTACGCAACGATCATTTCTGGTCATTTGTTTTCTTTCCTAAAAGATTGCCATATAAAGACATGACTATATGGTAGCTTTATTTGTATTATGAAACTACAATATCGGGGAACCCTGATATTTTACGGTTTTGTTGTGACCATATAATTAAAAAGTCTTGAATGAATAAAACTTATATTTTCAAGTATCCAATTTACTTACGACCAATTCTGCAAACTTTACATTCAGCTCTTCTTCTTCCGGGACTGGTTGTGTAGGCCTGAGCAGGTGCGGGTGAAGGTTTACCACCCCACCATTTTCCACCACGTGATAGGTGATTTCGGGTGGTTCTTTGGTGCCAAAACAGCTGCACAAGCCTTCATTTTTCTTCTTTACAGGCATGCTGGTCAAATTCGTTGGGACCGTAAGGACAAGATGCTGTAGAAGAGAAAGTTCCACATTTAAAAAAAAAAAGAGAAAGTTGGTCAGTATCCATTCATTTTATTTTCTAATGGTCTAAGAAAAACAAAATTTTATATCATCTGTTCTAAAGAATCAGTCGAATTAGAGAAAATTTGATGGGACTTGTGTGAAGTTTGTTTATTTGTAGTTAAGCACAAAGCTACTCAATGGGATCTCTATGCTTTGCCCATCACGAATATCGAAAAACAATTTTTAGCGTTGCAAATCCCCAGACGTCCCGCTGAGCCACTGGCGGACATTTTATATGATGTCAACATGGTTGTTAAGCAGATAAACAGAAGCAAGTCAAGAGAACTGAACTCAATGTTATTGCAATTCAAGTACAATCATCACAGGACGAATGTTTTCAAATGATAATTGTGTGTGTTTTGGTTAACATGTAGGCTGTCATCACAAGTCGATATCATTAGATTATAAGTATACGAGGCAGACTTCTATTGCCAACACAAATGTTTAAAACATTAACCTCATTTTGAATAATGAATTAAGAACGAACAGTAATAACCAGTTATATCACCATATTACACTCAAAGGAAACAATATTACAACCAACAGCCTCTCCGACGCATCAAGCAAGCTAACAAATTGAGTAAATCAGTAGAGTGTTAGTCATAAATCGTAATTTTTGTTTTATAAACACACTGAACAGGCAGTCAGACATACTAAACATACAGTACTTGAGTTTTGGTACTTTGCATTTAAAGTTAAGTTTCATTGAATAAAATAACAATTTTTTCCAAGATAACTGAAGTAAATATTTGAAGCTTTAAAACTGTATTTAACCGTGCAATCACACAAACGTTGTTCTGTATACGTATGGCAAATAACTCTTCGGTTTCCCAACAACTGCATGCTTGCGTGCAATTTCGCCGTCATGAAACGTACTTTAAAGTATCAATGGTATTACATATTTAACAATTAAGGAAAACTTATAAATGACCTTCACAAAATAAGTTTTGTTTATTTCTTGAAGTTCACTCAGAGCTATTCGAATGCTATCTGCGCTAGCCGAGCAAAATTTTCAAGTGATAGACTAGAGAGGGAGTCACAGTCAACTTTTACAAACAAATGGTGGGATTGACCGTTACATTATAATGCCCACGGCTGAAAAGATCAGCATATTCAGTGAAGGGATTCGAGCTCGTGACCCGTAGATTGCAAGTCCAGTGACGTAACCACTATGCTATGTTAAGCCTCACAAAAATAAAATAAAAAATGAGGGGCGATTTATCTTAAAAAAAGCTTAGACGCAAACGATAGTTTCATAGAAAATTCACAACTTGAGATTTGAAACATTTAAATATATGAAATATACAGCGAACAAGTCATATTTTGAAGGTGGTAACAATGCTATTTTTTTCTTATTGTTAAGAATACTGTGTATTATTATTATAAAACTTTTTTGGGGGGTTACGCTTTTCTAAAGCATGCTTTTCCAATGTCTTATTTGCAGAAATCCACCATTAGACAAATACTGAATGAACATCATTACCTGTATGTAAATTAGTTAGTAACACCGACCAAATAACAACAAGAACTAACAGTCTTCAAGCCTTTAAAACTCGTTATCTTTTTTATCTCAACACAGAAGTATCATCGTGTATTAATTTCTTACGTTTGTTTGGTTCACCACTAGACAAGCAGAAATGGTTGTTTTAGACCAAAATGCATTCTATATTCGAATGTATTATTCCATGAAAAAGTAAATCGCAACGACAATGATTCAATCTCTGTGTGATAAACGTTTCTAAATATACAAGTGTGTGTGTGTGTGTGTTTTAAATATTTAAAACTCATCCGACGATGAACAAGTTTTGTACACTTTTAAGTTTGTTTGTTGTTAAGCGCAAATCTACATAATGGTCTACCTGTGCTGCGCCCACCACGAGCATCGAAAACCGGTTGTAAGAGGGATTCGATACTTGTGGTGGGAACAGTACTGGCATTTTTATAGCATTATTGAAATATTTAGTTCCACTTAAAGCTAAACAATGAATTTTTGAAGATATAAAACACAAAATGGTATGACGCGATACAAATATGATTTTTAAAGAAAATAAAAAATTCGAATGTTTTTATGCTGCAAGTGTTTTATCGCAAAGCTAAACAATGGTAATCTGTGCTGTGCCACTCGCATGGATCGAACCCAAAATTTTGGCGTCTTAAAACGATCAACAAAAAATTTATTTACAAAGAATGATTATAATTTATATTCTCAGAAGCTCAGACTTTCACGCTCTCCCGATTTAATACAAGCCGGATGTATCAAAGAAAATCGAACAAATAAAATAAGTCTTGATAATAGGAGATAAAAAACAGAAAACTGTTTGTTATGAATTTCACGCAAAGCTATACGATGGCTATCTGCGCTAGCCGTCCCTAATTTAGCAGTGAAAGACTAGGGGAAAAGCAGCTAGTCATCACCACCCACCACCAACTCTTGGGCTACTCTTTTACCAACGAATAGTAGGATTCGATCCCGCGACCATGGCAGGCCTGAAAAAATCAAATTTACTTATACAGCTAGGTTATAATGTGTTTACAAGTAAGCTCTTGCTCATGCATTTTACAATTAATACAGTGTGGCGTGGTCTGGTGGCTAGCATGCCGATTTGTGATTCCGAGGGTCAGTAGTTTGTGTCCCCTTGCCGCAAAATCGCCTTTCCTACTTTGGAGCCGGGGGTGTGTTATAAGGGTAAGAGTCAAATCCTACCATTCGATTACAGTAGTCCAAGAGGTGGTTGTGGGTGCTGTTGACTAGCTGCTCTTATGCTAGCCTATCATTTTAAAATTAAGGACGGGTAGCACATATAGCCCTTGTGAAAATTTACGCGAATTTCCAAAACGAACAGACAAACATAATTGGTACAACGAATTACATAGTATTTTGAAAATACATATACATATATATAACTTCTTTTGCATAATTCATGCTATTTCTCAGTGGTTTTTCAAACATTTTAAACAGCACTACCATTATTTTTATTTGCGCTACTTGATGCCCCCCCCCGCATTCATACGCATATAGAAGTAAAAAAAAAGTTTACTATTACTAGATATTAAAAATTGTAATACACCACAGGTTCAAACAGACATTCTGACATGAAGTTAGGTGTAAGGGGCATCGGTTGGTGTTGAGAGAGGTGAGAAAGCGCTAGCTTTTGGTCAGTCCTAAGGGATTAGGGGATTACAACACTTTAATTCGTTAGAAAATTATTGGAAGGAATGGCTGCTTTCTTATTTAACCACTGTAGGATTACAGAACTCACCTATAATTATGAGACGTTGTGATCCCATTACGAAAAACAGGTGCAAGGCCATAAAATAAAGGGACTTGTTGGTGTGGTTTTTGAGAAAGAAAGTATCGCTCTTTCATTCTTCATCATTTTGCCTGAACACCTTCCAAACTTAACCGGGCACTGGTCAGGTAAATTATTGGGCGCCTGATTAGTGTGCCCCAATCCCACAACAAAATCTCCAGGCATTGGATTTATAGATTTTCACCGCCCTGAAGGACCATAAGTTTGATAATGGCCGTTGGTTAGAAATTAAGGAAAGAAGATTCCACATATGATCAAAACTCACAATTTTCCGTACATAGCCCCTCACTCCCATCACGAGCTAAGCGAAGAGGAACAGTCGTTTATGAGCGCCCCCGAGAGATCTCAAATCGAAACCACTGCCATGATTTTGATGACTTATGAGAAAAAGGTATAAAAGACACGCTTTTAACAGAAGAAAAAAGACCGGGTGATGTGAGAGAGACCGAATAAACCGAGAAAGGGTACCACTAAGAAACAAAACGTAGTTATAAATCTATGTGTTTTAGATGATAGTAATAAACAATAATTTGTTATGTATATTAGTACAAATCTACTCATGAGAGGAATACGTACAACCTGAATAAAGTTGAAGGAAAAGCAATGTGCAAGAATAAGCACGATTGTAATAAAGCATGTTAGAATACAGTAACGTAAATTTTGTGTGAGAACCACTGCTATATGTTTAACCATGTAACAAAAACTTCAAATTTGAGGTAACAAATCGCCTAATTCATAACTCTAAGTATTTTTGTTTTTTCTATAAAACACCGCTACCAACTTTTAAGTATAAAATATTTCAGTTTACCGTTATTATCATTTTTTTTTTAGAAAAAAATAAGGCAGCTTGAGGAAAGTTCTAGGTTAATGAGCGTTTCATCATAACGATAGCGTGAATGGCAGGATGGGAAAAGTATATATTTTGGGTTTAAAAACTTCCGTTTCTCACTTTAGGCGGATGTTTGTGAAATATACACAGGAACACTACACCGACAGTGATGCCTGATAAGAGTATACGACATTAGCCAAGCTTACAAAGCTCTTGTAGGATGGAACACTCTAGGAAAGGAACGGTTTTACATTCTAGTTTTAGCATTAATGGACTGTCCCTGTCTGTTTCTAAAGTGGGGAGTCTATACCGAGACTTTCTTCAGGTTTATATTATTCCGATTAAAATGTACAGAAACAATAAAACTTCATTTTCTGAAGGAATATGTCAAGATAACTCTTTTGCTAATTAGTTGTATTAGTTTAATTTTAAAAGATGGAAAAAAAAAGTGTTGTTGAACCTTCATGTGCAAGACATTGTTTGGCCTTGTGTGTTTGATTTTTCCTAATTTTGTCAGAACTAAAATTTGAAGAAAAAAAAATAAAACTTTACGAGAGGAAAAACATCTCATCATAGTCGGTGTGCTAGACAAGGTTGTTAATTGCGATTTATATCCTTGGGGGTTGTTATACTTTTAATTATTATAATACTTTCTGCCAATAACCCTGTTAAAGTGAAATTTCACGTTTCTGGGAGTAGCTCTCAGTGTACGAACATTCTAGTAGAAACCATGGTACTCTCCTGGGCCATAAGACGTCGAGTTGATTTAATCTAATTTATCCACCACACAGCCATAACAAATAACA